TTGGAGTTGGACAGACTTGGGTTTGAATTCCAGCTCTACCAACCAGGAGTAGTGAGGATTTGGAGTGAGTTATTAAAATGCTAAATCTCAATTTTCTTACCTGTAAAAGGGGAATAATATAATTTGTCTCAGAAGGATGTGAAAATTAAGTGAAATAACAGAAACATGCTTAACAGAACATCTGGCTCATAGTGTTTGATCAATTAGTAATAGATGTATTATTGGCTATATCTCATTACCATCATAAAGATTTACTTTAATTGCCATCAATAAATTGCCAAAAGTAATAATGACCCATGAATACTAAGAGATAGTAAAGAGATAATAAGTCAGGTATGTGGCCACATGGCTTATTAGAAATAGAAACATAAAGGGGATCTGTTATAAGAACATAGGTTGAGTACTCCTTAAATGCTTTGGGACCAGAAATGTTTCAGACTTTGGATTTTTTCAAATTTTTGGAATATTTGCATATATATAATGACATATCTTGGAGATGGGACCCAAGTCTAAACACAAAATTCATTTGTTTCATATATACCTTATACATATAGCCTGAAGGTAATTTTATACAATATTTTAAATAATTTTGTGCACGAAACAAAGTTTTGATGGCACTTTAACTGTGACCTCGTTACACAAAATTTTCCACTTGTGGTGTCATATTTGCGCTCAAAAGACTGTGGAGCATTTTGTATTTAGGATTTTTGGATTATGGATGATCAATCTGTACCAGTTTTACAACATAGAGATAGTATTCACTCAGAATTTACCACTCCTGTTACTATAAATTCTGGGATATATTGGGTGGAAATCACTTAACTAATCTTTTCAGGAAGACACCTTTTTTTTTGATACAATAAACATTCCAGAACTGCATTTAATATAATTCTTCTTACACCTCCTTATACTGGAATCCACACTTGAGCCTCAAGGAAAAGGTTTTAATTTTTAAAAAATTCAACTAGCATACTAAAATTGAGTCCCAGGAATGGTTTAAAATCCATCTTGTGTGAAACACTGGAATAAAAATATTAAATGAAGATTCTCTCTCTGTTCTAGGAGAAGGAGAGCAAGAAGCAGAGAAACGAAATATGTTTTGAATATAATTATATGCTAGACTTTGTGTATTAGACACATAACATTAACCCATTAGGCTCAAAGATGGAACCACAATATCATTTTTAAATTTTCATTTCTTTGGTTACCAACAAGATTGAGCATCTTTCCTCAAGTCTGCTCTTGTTTGTAACATTTCCTGTTTTGTGATTTACAAGATCATCACCCTTGCCTGTTTATCTTTTCTTTTTAATATGTTTATTGTAGTAAAATACATATAACATATCATTTAAACCAATTTTTAAGTGCACAGTTCTGTGGCATTAAACACATGTACATTATTCTGCAACCAACACCACTGTCCATCTCTGGAATTTTTTCATCTTGCAAAACTGAAACTTCATATCCATTAAATAGTAACTCCCATTTCCCCTTCTCCCCTGCCTCTGGAAACCACCATTCTACTTTCCGTCTCTATGAATTTGACTACTCTATGTACCTCATATACCTCAAAATATTTGTCCTTTGTGAATGGCTTACTTCGCTTTAGCATAGTGTTTTTAAGATTCATGCTGTAGCATGGTTCAGAATTTCTTTCTATTTTAAGGCTGAATAATATTCCATTGCATGTATATACCACATTGTTTATCCATTCACCCACTGATGGACAGGAGTTGTTTCCACATTTTGGCTATTGTGAATAATGCTGCTATGAATGTAGGTGTACAAATATCTGTTTAAGTCCCTGCTTATAATTATTTTGGGGATATACCCAGAAGTGGAATTGCTGGATCATATGGTAATTCTATTTTTAATATTTTAAGGGAACAACTATATTGTTTTTCACAGTGGCTGCAACATTTTACATTCCCACCAACAATGCACAAGTGTTTCAATTTCTCCATATCCTTGCCAACGCTTATTATTTTTTTTTAATAATAGCCATCCTAATGAGTGTTAAGTCCACTTATCTTTTAAAGCCTTCAGATTTCTTATTGATTCATATACATGATACAAAATAAAGGGAGACTCTCACCATGGCTGGATTTGAAGAAACAAACTATCATAAATTCTACAACTGCAGGGAATGAATTCTCCCAACAACCTAAGGGAGCTTGGAAGCAGATCCTTCCCTAGTTGACCCTCCAGATGAGAATGCAGCCCAGCCAACACCCTGATTTCAGCCTTGTGAGACAATGAGCAGAAGACCTAGCTAAGCTGTGCCTGGAGCTAAACTCCCCAATGGAAACAGTGAGATAATAAATATGTGTTGTTTTAAACTGCTAAATTTGTGGTAATTTGTTTTCCAGCAATAGAAAACTAGTAATGGGTCTCCAAATAGTGAAACAGTCCAAGAAAAGGTGGCAAATATGATGTTAGGTGTGACATAGCAGAATCATCTATCAAGGGCAGGAAGTGAAGCAAAGCTGGGAGTAGGCAGCAGTCCTTTCATTCTTCCTGAGTTCTGAGCAGAGAGAAACAGGAAGTCTGCATGCCTCTCTGCAGTTTCCGTAGTATCTTTGCAGATACTATAGTACCTTATCCAGTAAATCCAAAAGCCTGAGTACTCCTCAGTAATCAGCACAAAGGGAAGAACTGGACAACCTTTTTTGCTACTCTTTAGTCGTAAGACATAATCATGATTACTGATCCATAATCTAAGGCTATCACTGCCTTACATATGGTTGCATACCATATGGTTACCATGATATAACTTTCTTCCTGAATAAACTAAACGGATCCTCTGGAAAGTATTTCATTAGGATTGAGAAAGCATATATTGTAGAAGGGGGAAACTGTGCAGAAAGATTAAATGGTTTTTCCAAGGTCAAAGCTGAGTCAGTGGCGAAATCAAGAACAGGACCTCAACCTTGGGTCTCCCTGGGGAAATCCAACATTAAACTGAAAGCAGGGAGACAAAGGCTCACTGGAACTATTCTTTTACTTTTGGAGACTGTGTGTTAATTTCATCTCACCCCTGATTAGGAACTGCTAGACCTCAACATCCTACGAGATTACATACATTTTGAGGACTGGGATTGGCAAAATAAAGCTTCAGATATTTTTTAAATGAGGGACTCAATCAGAATATGCAGTAGCTCTGGGGGAAAATGGCCAAGATTGGGTCAGTCCAGAAAATCTTGGGAGATACCAGGGGATTTTCAAGTGATCAAATCATCTAGTTCAATCTCAGACTTAACAGAAAGCAGAGATACTCAAAGGAATACTTTGAAGTGCCTCAGAATCACTCCAGGAGCTTATTTACAATGGAGATTTTTGATTGCACCCTGTGAGATTCTAATTCAGAAGGTCTGGGGGCCTGGGGATCTGCATTTTAGCAATCACTCCAAGTGAGTCTGATGCAGGTGGTCTCCACTACTGGAAAGGCATCAAGTGGCTCAGAAATAAGATATCTGCATTGGATATTTGCACCAGTGTTTTGTGTGCTTGCAAAAATTTCAAAACTCCTTATAAACAAGACAGCATTGCTAATAAGGAAATTGAGGAATAGTGTGGTTAAATAAATTGCCCAATATTTACCACCAACTTGCTGTATGAGCCAAGAACAGAAAAAGAAAAAAAACAAAGCAAAACACAATTCTCTGAGGCTTTTCACACCCCCACTCCCGCCCCATTCCATGTCCTAAGAAAACTCTAGCAGAAAATAACAGGAGGGCCCTGGGACTGTGTTGATATTGGCAGCAAAAGCACATCCAGCTATTCAGTCTCAATAAAAGAACATTTTTCAAATCTTTCAAAGCCAGCCACACTAAAGCTATAATGAGTTTACCTCATTTTAATCTATGCAGCCAGAACCACTGAAGGCGAGCAGGTCTGAACCCATCTTTGGGAAATCATGCTGGCATCAATATTAAGAAGATTTAAAAACTCTCCAGACATCTGATCTGACTTAATAGATCTCTTGGTGCTTTCTGGATTCCTTAAATGTTCACCAGGAGGTCATATTCTTACACTTTTTCCTTTCCTATAGATAGGTCAATTATTCAAATCCAGTGAGCCAAAAGTATCACAATTATGTCTATATTTCCATA